TGGGCAGAAAGAGCTGCAGTGGGTTGTGAGGGATGGCTGATTATATACTTTCAAATTGGGAGGGAGTCAGAGATAGCATAAATCTCCAAGGAACTTGAAAGCAAGGCTTCCAGGACCTTGAGGGGCTAGCTGTTGTTAGGAAAGGTCATTTAGCAGTGTCTAGTAAAACCCTAGTCATGAGATCCTTAGAATGTATCTCAGTGGGCTATATGCTTGGAGGATGATTGCTGGCATCTCTCTGGGGGGGGGGGGGGGGGGGGGGGAGGGACGGACATAGAGATAAAGGAAGTTTCCAAAGGAATTTTTACCTGTTAAAGGTGACTTACAGGATCCTGGAGGTTGGGTTAATATTAAGATAAGGTTGTCTTTTGCCCTCAGCAAAATATGAACACTGAGGCACGTCTCAAGGACTGGTCAATGGGCTGTAAGTTGTAAGGAAATTTGATTTTTTTCTTTTGCCTTTATTGTCCACATCATAAACTATCTAAAAGAATCTAAATTTGGAGCTTTTCCCAGAATAAGAGTTATTATCAGAGATCAATTTTCTCTGAAGTGATCCATCTGTATGGCAGGGCAAATACCTAAATACCCAACATCTGCTCTTCTTCTTGCCCTGTGAAGTGCCCTCCTCCCCGCTGAAGCCCCAGGCCCCTATCCCACTCCTTAGTTCAGGATGGCATACAGATCTCACTTTACCTTTCTGTCTTTGAACTTCTCATGTATGTAGGGGTTCTATACATATGAAATTAAACCTGACTTTCTCGTGTTCATCTGTCTCATCTCAATTGGATTCTTAATCCAGCCAGAAGAACACTTGAAGGGTAGAGAAAAATTCACCCTAACAATATGATATCTGGTGGTATGCCCAGCCAAGCTGATAGGCACTCAATGAAACAGAAATGAATCTTCCTATGTCAAAGTTCATGAACATAATGTTCTAATTTCTTATTCTAATTTTGAAATATGCTATTTCAACACTGAGGGTCAACATCTTTTTTTTTTTAATGTTTATTTTTGAGAGAGGGACAGAGTGTGAGCGGGGGAGGGGTAGAGAAAGGGAGGGAGAGAACTAGCAAATCTGAAGCAGGCTCCAGGCTCTGAGCTGTCAGCACAGAGCCCGACACAGGGATCGAACTCATGAACCGGGAGATCATGACCTGAGGTGAAGTCGAACACTTAGCTGACTGAGCTACCCAGGCGCCAAGAGAGTCAACATCTTAAAATGTCCCCTCAAAATTATCCATAGAAACACTGACAGGTTCAACTTAAATCCAATATATAACCATTTCCATAATCTATGTTTTGCTCCTTGGTAAAGCTACTCATTTTCTTAGCAATGCTCAATTTTTACTTTATTTTGATTAAATATTAGAAATACAATGTGACTTTTATGTGTTTTTTATTTCCTACAAGAAAGTCATACCATATATTTCAGAGGCCTCCAGGAGATGGTTAACAAAGGCTAAATTGACATTACCAAGACATTACCAAGAGAAGTGTACTGAGGAAAATATTGTGAATATAAATATACTTGCACATTTTCTTTACTCCTTATGTAAGCTCATAGCCCCACAAAAACCATCAGTGTCCTTTGTATTATCCTTCAAGCATTCCCACTGCACAAAAGGCCTACATCTGGATGTAAATTATCAGGAGAACTCCCATGAGAATTCTCGGCAAGCAGGAGTGCACACAGTGAGTGGGGGTGGGGTGGGCTTTATGTAGCAGCTGTCCCAAAGAAGGGAATTGGAAGAGAATGCAAATCCTTTCTCTCCCAAGCTGTTGGCCTCAATTCAGGCAAGTAATTTGTTTCAGTAGGATTAACTCCCCCACCAAAAATTATCTAATCCTTCTATGTACAGATGCCACCAATATCTTTATAGGTCAATTAATTCTACTGAGGACATTATTTACATAGTAAAGATAACATAAAGAAATTGAATAAAGAAAATTTATGAAGAGAAATATACCTAAGAATTCAACTAGATGATTTGTCCCTTTAAAAATGTTACTGATGAAATAAAAATCTACCCCCTCCAGAACAATTCAATAAATACTCAAAAATGTTAAATCAAATATGCATAAACTATATATATATTTCTATACACACACACACACACACACACACATACACACACACATCGATGAGGATTCTACTAACTCAGGTTTTGGGGGGCAAAAGTAAAAACAAGCAATATTCTGACATGACACACACATATACAGTCTTCATCTGAAAATGACTGTTTTCTTTCATTTTCCTTACTTGCCAGAATGCTGCTAAAAGAGCTTCCTGAGTGATAGAAGGAGAACCTGGTTGTTAAAAAAAAGTCTGTTGCTTAAGAACAAAAAGGGAAGAATCAAAGGCAAAAACAGTCTCCATTGTGGGCCAGTGAAAAATGCCAGTCAGGGCCAGTCTACTTATGTTTGATGCTCTTTTTCCTCTAAGTATCTTTTCCATACTCCCTTGTTTCCCAGAATGTGACAAGACCCTAATCCCTGCCTTTTGTTTTTCAGGTTAGTCAACAAGCATATTTATTTAAAAAGGCTAAAATGTGATGGACAATCATTCAGAGTAATGACTTGAATATCAATATATGTTGATATTCATATTACCTAATACTGGTATTTTTTTATTTAAAAATAGTAAGATTTGGTAAATATCATCTTCTATATTTTATTACATGTGAGAAAAGGCCAAGCTCGAAGCTGAACTTCCTCTGTCCTCCTAGCTTGAGTCTCCTCAGGTAGGATGGTTGGGGGAAAAAGGACTTGATCAAATAAATTGTCCTATGGGAAGAGGCTCCAGGTGCTAGGAGAACAGATCAGACACAAGAGAGGAATAGAAGGAACTGTGCCATGGGAAAAGGGATGCACAGGCCCCAAAGAAAGGGCTGGGACTGGATGCCTCCTTCTTCAGCCTGCCCAGAACTCCCACCTCTCTCTCACATCTCTGTTCCCAGCTCCTCCCATCCTTTTTTCCACCAACCCCCAACTATGACATAAGATGTTTTCATCAGTGAATTCCAGAAGTAGACTTGGGCCCATACTGGCTCTGAGGGAGAGCCAAATGATTAATATAAATTAACAAAAAAAAGCTATCTAGCCTCAGTGATATTCTGAGAACAGGGAATTAATACATAAGTAATTTGACGTCCATCGACTGATGAATGGATAAAGAAGATGTATATATGAAAAATGGAATATTACTAGGCAACCAAAAAGAATGAAATCTTGCCATTTGCAACAACATGGATGGAACTAGAGTGTATTTTGCTAAGTGAAGTCAGTCAGAGAAAGACAAATACCATATGATTTCACTCATATGTCTCATATGTGAAATTTAAGAAACAACATAAACATAGGGGAAGGGAAGTAAAAGTAAGATAAAAATAGGGAGGGGGCAAACCATAAGAGACTCTTATTTTTTATTAAAATTTTTTAATGTTTATTTATTTTTGACAGAGAGACAGAGCATGAGCGGGGGAGGGGCAGAGAGAGAGGGAGACACAGAATCGGAAGCAGGCTCCAGGCTCCGAGCCATCAGCCCAGAGCCCGACGCGGGGCTCGAACTCGCGGACTGCGAGATCGTGACCTGAGCTGAAGTTGGACGCTTAACCGACTGAGCCACCCAGGCACCCAGGAGACTCTTAAATACAGAGAACAAACTGAGGGTTGCTGGAGGGGAGGTGAGTGGGGGGATGGGCTAGATGGGTGATGAGCATTAAGGAGGGCATTGTTGGGATGAACGCCGGGTGCTATATGGAAGTGACGAATCACTGGGTTCTACTGCTGAAACCAATACCACACTGTATGTTAACTAACTTGAATTTAAATTAAAAAACACCACCACCACCACCAAAACATAGATAATTTGAAAACGTCTTGAACAGGGGTGCTGGGGTACACAGTCAGACTGATTTTCTAAACGTGCATATGCACATTTGGATGCCTGAATTTAAATGCAGCATAGCGTGCTCTACATTTAAATGACTGAGATTTCAAAAATTAGTACACAATCAACAAAACTACTGGCATTTTGGGTATGTAAAGACAGCACAGAACACTGGAATAACCCAAACTGACATGAAGACTAAAGCAAATGTCTGTTTTCAATGACTAGTGTACGTTCTAATGCAACATAAAAGTTTGTATGTCTCGTGTGAAAACAATGTCATACTGGAATATTATACTTATGCCACTGAGGCTAACTCTGGGTGTGCATCAAAAATAGCCCCACCCACAATGATTCTGTGAGTTTGGGCCCAGATGTCTGTATTTTTACAAGTTTCTTAGGTGATTCTGACACATACTTCCATTTAAGACAGAGTGACTGTCTTAGAGGATGTTAAATATTATTCCACTCAACTCCCAATGCACTCCGCTTAGTCACAGCAAAATGTTAAGATCTCACACATAAAGCTGCTTTGCTTACAAATCCATTACTAATCTCATCATCTCCCTGGGTTAGTTTTTATTTGATGAGTACCACAGCAGCACTTAAAAAAAAAATTAAACTTTGCTTCTCATACCACCACATGAAGTTATTAAAAACTAACACTTGAAATAAGTATTTAAGAGGTAATAAATTCAGAGGCGAGCTGGGAACTAGGTGTTTACTTTCAAAGTAAAACTATCAATCCACAGCAGTATGGAATAAAGAACAGGAAGAAGTGAAGTCAGGAATAGAAAGGGGAAGCTAGATGGTCATCAGATTCCTCCTGAAACATGTTTTCATGATTTTTTTTTTTACACTGATAACAACTCACCATGTATGCTCATGTTTGAACAGAAAAAAGTATTCCCTCAAGATATAATCGATATTCATCATATATTTTGTATAATCTATGAAACTGTTAATCAAAAACTAACACTAAGAATCAAAAGCTAATTATACTATTTGGATGCCATGGGCCAGTTTCTTCACCTCAATTTATTTCTTTTGATTTTTCATCTACATTAAAAAAAAAAAAAAAAAAAAAAAAACAAATTTATGAACATACCTTGGGTCAAGAAGACTCCTCAAAAACTTGAAAAGCAAAACCTGGTCCTGAATGAAAAAAAAACAATTAAAAATACAATTAAATATTAAAGAACATATTTTCAAACTATGCCATGCTAAAGAATGACTCTAAAAAATCTCTAAAGTGCACACAATTCCATTAAGTCTTCTGTACAGATCTAAGAAATTCTAAGGACTCATTTGGAGGTCATTTCCTCTCAGTAATTCAAATCATTGTCACACATTCCATTCTGAGTGCAGAAGAAACACAAATGCCTTGTTATTGCAAAAAAAAAAAAAAAATGCCTTCTATTAAGGAATATATCCCCTCGCAGTTCTCAGCACAAGGACCCTGAGACCAGCAGATGCTCTGAACTACTCTGCAGATAGTGGGCTCTAGCTACACGGACGGGTTCAGATTGCTTCACCTGGGCCTCCTTGTGATAATGGCCTATTGCAAGGTAATTAATCTAAGTAGGGTAGGAGCTTGAGTCCCAAATAACAACCACCACCAAAAAAAAAATCCAACTCCCCAATGTAATCAACTACAGAAGAGATGGCACACTGCAACATTTTAGCAGTTAATATGCCATAAAATCTGGGTGCTGTTTCTTCCACTTATTAGCTGTGTGACTTTGTGTAAGTCACTGACTCTCTCGGCAATTCAGTTTACATATGTGAAAAAAGAAAACGACAGTATCTTTTCTTTCCTCTGCACAAGGTGTAGAGAATTAAATGAGATACACCTTAAAATACACTATGGAGGCACCTGAGTGGCTCATTCATTTGGACTGGGACTCTTGATGTCACATGACAGTATTTCTTTCTCGCACAAGGTGTAGAGAATTAAATGAGATACACCTTAAAATACACTATGGAGGCACCTGAGTGGCTCATTCATTTGAGCATCTGACTCTTGATGTCGGCTCAGGTCATGATCCCATGGTCATGAGATCAAGTGGTCATGATCCCAGGATCATGGGATCGAGCCCCTCATTGGGCTCTGTACTGAGCATAGAGCCTGCTTGAGATTCTCTCTTCCTCTCCCTCTTCCCCTCTTCCTTGCTCACATGCTCTCTCTCTCTCTCTCTAAAAGATAATAATAAAATAAAATAAAATAAATGAATTAATATAAATAATGTTTTAAGTTCTTAGGAAAGCTAAGCAAAATTATTATAGCTTAGTTTTTCTTTTTGATACATTCAAACTTCACGTATATAAAGCAGGGGAGTCTCCAAACTAGAAAGGATCAATGTAATTTAGAGTATGAGATTTTAAATACATTTATCAGTCTTTGATTTTCTATCTTTTCCCTAGTCTATAATTTTGTTTCATTTTATATGACTTTCCTTCTGGTTATAACCTAATATTCTGGCTTTTTTTTTTTTTTTTTCATCTCAAGAATTCTGAAAACGAGTGGTCAGAAGCATTATCTCTTGCCACCAAAAGTAAAGGTGCTTTATAAAATTTGTGTAGGATTCTCTCATATTCAGTAAAGCACTGCAATAAAATACCTCATTTCTTTAAAAGAAATGTGTGAAGACTCCACAAACAGTCCACAATCAAATAGCCACCCTTTTTAAAATCTATGACCCTTCAGCTTTTATAGGTTTGCCTGATGAGTGACATTATATTTATTTACTTGGTCTCTCTGCCTCTAAGTATCGTTAGAGACTAAGAGAAATAGAAAATCCGGCACTGGATAACCTTACATTTTAAATGACAGTAACAACACTAAAGGTCAGGAAATACACTAGGAACTGCTGACTTTTAAAGGGGGGGGTGGGGGGCACCTGGGTGGTGCAGTCGGTTAAGCGTCCGACTTCAGCCAGGTCACGATCTCGCGGTCCGTGAGTTCGAGCCCCGCGTCAGGCTCTGGGCTGATGGCTCAGAGCCTGGAGCCTGTTTCTGATTCTGAGTCTCCCTCTCTCTCTGCCCCTCTCCCGTTCATGCTCTGTCTCTCTCTGTCCCAAAAATAAATAAACGTTGAAAAAAAAAAAAAACTTTAAAGGGGGGGGTGGCTCTGTGATTTGAGAAGAGTTTTATCAGAAGTGTCCTCCTGTCCCCACCACTAGAATGGACAGGATGACTCTCTATGTACTTCCTCAGTATCTTGGGCAATGCTCTATATCATTCAAGTCCAACTATTCTGCAACTGTCTTTTGGCTTCTCTTCTTCCTTCAGCACAGGAATACATGTTTATGTTTTTTCCTCAGCACTTAACAGTGTTTTTGGTCCACAGCAGGTACATAATATTTATTGAATTCATGGACGTGTCTTTATCTTGAGTTAATGAACCTAATCATGCTGGGCAGCCAAGCCTGATGTCTGGGAGTCACCTTTAAACTCTCCCATCACTTTCAATTCATTTCTAAGTCCCACATGTTTTACTTCACAAACACATCCTGAACCCACCCACACCACTGTCACCGACTTAGTACCCCTCCTCACCATCTTTTGCCTGGAACTTTCACCTTCTAACTGGTCTACATGGTCTCTGTCCTCCATCCTCTCTTTGCTAGTCTGTTCCATACACTACAAAGTTAACTTTCTGTAAAATCAATCTAGTGATGGCCTTCTTTTGCTGAAAAACTTGAGTAATTCTCTAGGACACAGAAGACACAGTATCATTTCTTAGCACTACACATAAAATTGTTCAGTATCAGAGCCCAAACTCTATTTTCTGGCCTCAATACTTTTAACTCCTCCCTCCAACAGACCTTTTCTGGCTTAACCTAATGCTCCTCCAGGCATCATCTCCGGCATGTCATACTTCACAAAGACCTGGCCGTTATCTGGATATACATATTGCCTTGTGCCTTCAAGTCTTAACATACCCAGGGCCTTCTATCTAGAAAGTGCTTCTCAATTCTCTGCCTAGAAAACTGATGTCAATCACTCAAGACCCAGCCCGGGCATTTCTGGGAGCTCTTGTCTGACCTCACAGTTGGCGGTCTCCTCTTACTCCTCGTGTTCCTACAGTATTTTGCCCCTGTGTCTGGTGTAGCACTTATAACCCTGCATTTTGGCTATATAAGTGCTTCTTTCCTCCACAAGAAAAATTAAAAGACTGCATTTTTATTTGTCACCCAAGGCCTACCATACTGTGGTACATCATGGGGCCATAAGTGTTTAAGTTAATAAATTCCATCTTTGTCTCTCATGCCAGCTGCCCCCACCTCACTGCTTTGGTTTTCATCTTGTATAGTTATCCCCTCCTACAATCACTGCCACTTGGGGACTCTGGGTCATGCTTTATGTTGCTGTCATTGCCCTATTGTCTACCTCTATCACTTGAGGCCATAATGACAATGAACAAAACTCACTACTAGCACTGCAATGATAGTGACAAGTGGAATAGTAAGTCCACTAAATAGTATTTCAAACTGAGCATCTCAATATTCGACATTAATATAACTGTATTGTAGTTAAGATTTTCCAAGAAAAATTCTAAATAGTCAGCATTAACCCACTTTGAGAATTACACATCTGAATGAATAATAAATAACATCAGCCTCAAAGAGAATACAGCTATAGTTCCTATAGCCAAAAAAAAGGGGGGGGGGGAGGGGGATCTTCTGTGGATTACAAATTCTAGAATAAGTATAGGGTACAGTTCTGTTTCTGTGATGTTACTATTTAATATGCAGAAAGATGAACTCCCTTGTTTCTAGATGTAGAGATTATCACACAACTGCTCCCAAATATACACATACACAGTGCAGAAACTGCTTAAATGGCAACTATCTATTGAAGAAATTACCACAATCAAAAGCTCATAAGTGGATATTCAATAATTGTCTTTCTACTACATGTTTCTTCCCCATATATTTTTGCAATATTTACCTGAAGTTTTTTAATGACTATTTCAATCTGTTCAGAAAAGTGAGTAGCAACCAGCTCTGCAGCTTTACAGGGCTTCAGGGATACAAGTTCCTAAAGTGAAAGAGAAAGAGAAAATGATCTTTAATGTTAAGTTTAAATAGAATTTCCATAGATGTGAAGCATGATTACGTACTTCAGCATTTTCAAGAGCTTCTACACTGCACTTCAGAAGACCTCACTATAAGGTCTCAATTTAAAGGCACATTGCAAATAAACAAAATTAGAAATATGCCATGTAAAAAATTACATTTTGATATAAAACGTAATTCAGAATGTTTAGTAAATGAAAGCACTAAAACTCTGGATGTAAGCCTTGATATCTACAGGATGAACAGAAGGAACAAAAGCTTTCCTAAATTTCCTGCCGGTGAATTTCACCCTGGAGCTTAAAGTAATAACTTGAAACAAGGAAAAAAGAGTATAGTTGCAAATTTTCTAGCTACGAATTTGAAAACTTTACTTCTGATGCCAGTGGATTTTGAAACAAGGAGTATCTTAAAACAATGTAAGCTCACAAGTCTTAAATGAGACTAAGAGGTTGACCGCTGTTTATTAACTGCTGTTAATAAGATCCATTTCTGTCAAATTTAAGACTTCCAATCTGCCCCCTCCTTGAACCTTCCTAGACATTACTGGCTACTTATGTTCCTGAAACTCTCTTCTAACTTGTTTTCTGTAACCTACTCATCAACCATTCCAATTGCATGTTCACATTGGTAAAATGCAAACACCGACTAGAGATCAACATGGTAAATTGTCAAATAAAAATTAGACAAGTTATTGTGACTGCAGTAACAGTCAATTAACAGTTAGCAATGAGAAAAAAACCTACATTGATTTTTAGCTACTAAAGAAACTGAATGAATACTCAAAATTTTTCCATATGGAAAACTCCAGGCCCAAACAGCTTCCCTGGTAGTTCGAGCAACTATTTAAGGAAGAGACAATTTCCAACATTAATTAGCCTCTTACAGAGAACAGGAAAAACAACAACTTCAGCACATTTTATAACACTAGCAAAATTTTTGATACCTAAACCCAATAGGACAATATAAGAAAGGAGAACTATAGATCAGTCTTAATCATGAACATTGATATAAGCATCCTAAAACAAAACAAAATCCAATAATATTTAAAAGGATAAGATCAGGATCAAGTTGCATTTATCCACAGAACTCAAGTCTGATTTAATATCAGTAAGATTTACCATAAATATAGAATAAGAAAGAAAAGGTGAAAAATTCCTTCATGAAAAAACTGTTAGCATACCAGAAAGAGAAGACTTCCATAAAATAAATAAAAGGGTACAGAGTCTGACACAATATACTTACAACCTGGGAGGGAAGGGACTAAAGAATGGGCTCAAACTTAAGTGACCATCAACCTAACATAGACTGCTATGTGCATAAGATGTTACATATGAGCCTAAGGTAACCACAAATCAAAAACCAGTAATAGGTATGCAAAAAATAAAGTACAAGGAATCCAAGTATATCACTAAACAGAGTCGACAAACCATGAAAGAAAAGAGCATTAGAACAAAGGAACAGAGAAAAACTACAAAAACAACCATAAGATGCATAACAAACAACAGTATGTAAATACCTATCAATAATTACTGTGAATGCAATGGGTTGGATGCTCCAATCAAAAGACACAGGGTGACAGAATGGATAAAAAACAAGATCCATTTATATGCTGCCTATAAGAGATTCATTTCAGACCTAAAGACACATGCAGATTGAAAGTGAAGGGATAGAAAGGAATTTATTATGCAAATAAAAGTAAAAAGAAAGCTGAGGTAGCTTTCTTTAATTTATTTTGGACAAACTAGACTTTAAACAAAGAGTGTAAAAAGAAACCAAAAAAAAAAAGAAGACACTATATAATTATAAAGGGAACAATCCAATAAGATACAATTGTCAATATTTATGCAAGCAACATGAAAGCACCCAAATACATAAAGCAGTTAGTAACAAACAGAAAGTAACTGATAGTAACGCAATAATAGGGAAATTTCACACCCCACTTACATTAGTGGACAAGATGGTCTAAACAGAAAATCAACAAGGAAATAGTGGTTTTGAATAGTGGTTTTTTTTTTGTTGTTGTTGTTGTTGTTTTTTTTTTTTCAACGTTTATTTATTTTTGGGACAGAGAGAGACAGAGCATGAACGGGGGAGGGGGGGAGGGGCAGAGAGAGAGGGAGACACAGAATGGGAAACAGGCTCCAGGCTCTGAGCCATCAGCCCAGAGCCCGACGCGGGGCTCGAACTCACGGACCGCGAGATCGTGACCTGGCTGAAGTCGGACGCTTAACCGACTGCGCCACCCAGGCGCCCCTGAATAGTGGTTTTTATCTGAACGTTGAACCAGATAGATTTAACAGATATATTCAGAACGTTGTATCCTATAACAGCAGAATACACATTTTTTTTCAAATGGCACATGAAACATTCTCCAGAGTAGATCATATGTTAGGCCACAAGTCTAAAAAAATTCAAAAAGATTGAAATGCATCTTTTCCAACCACGATGTTATGCAACTAGAAATCGACCAAAAGAAAGAGTGTGGAAAGACCACAAATACATGGAGTTAAATAACATGTTACTAAACAATGAATGGGTCGATTAAGAAACAAGAGTAAATAAAAAAACATGGAAAATGGAAATGAGAACACAAGGTCCAAAAGCTTTGAGATGCAGCAAAAGCTGTTGCATATAACAATACAAGCCAACCTCAAGAACCAAGAAAAATCTCAAATAAACAACCTAATCTTATATCTAAGGAGCTAGAAAAAGAACAACAAAGAAAACCCGAAACAGTAGAAGGAAGGAAATAAAGATCAGAGCAGAAATAAATGATATAGAAACTAAAATAAACAGAGCAGAACAATGAAACCAGGAGCTGGTTGTTTGACACAAATCAACAAATTGATAAACTTTAAGTCAAATTCATCCAAAAAACAAAACAAAAAAAAAAATGGAGAGGGCTCAAATAAAATCAAAAATGAAGAGGAGAAATAACAACAGACACCACAGGAAAACAAACTGTAAGAGAATATTATGAAAAATTATATGACAACAAATTGGACAACCTAGAAGAAATGGATAAATTCCTAGAAACATATAATCTCCAAAAACTGAATTAGGTAGGAACAGAAAATTTGGACAGATCAATAACCAGCAATGAAATTGAATCAATAATAAAAAAACTCCCTACAAACAAAAGTCCAGGACCAGATGGCCTCACAGGTGAATTCTACCAAACATTTAAAGAAAAGTTAATACCTATTCTTCTCCAACTATTACAAAAATCAGAAGGGAAAGGGGCACCCAGGTATCTCAGTCGGTTGAGCACCCGACTTCAGTTCAGGTCATGATCTCACGGTTTGTGAGTTCAGGCCCCACGTCAGGCTCTATGCTGACAGCTAGGAGCCTGGAGCCTGCTTCGGATTCTGTGTCTCCCTCTCTCTCTGCCACTTCCCTGATCCTTCTGTGTCTCTCACTCTCTCAAAAATAAATAAACATTAAAAAAAAATTAGAAGGGCAAGGAAAGCTTCCAAATTCATTCCATGAGGCCAGCATTCTCTGATACCAAAACCAGATAAAGACCCAATGAAAAACAGAACTACAGTTCAATATCTCTGACAAACACACATGCAAAAATTCTCAACAAAATATTGGCAAACTGAATCTACCAATATATTAAAAACATCATTCACCACGATCAGATGGGGTATATTATATTCCCAGTATGCAAGGGTGGTTCAACATTCACAAAACAATCAACATGATACATCACATCAACTAGAAAAAGGATAAAAACCATATGACCATTTCAATAACTACAGAAAAAGCATTTTAAAGTACAACATTCGTTCATAATAAAAACCCTCAACAAAGTACGTTTACAGGGAACGTATCTCATCATAATAAAGGCCATAGATGAAAAATCCACAGCTGACATCATACTCAGTGGTGAAACAGGGAGCTTTTCCCCTAAAATCAAGAACAAGAGAAGGATGTCCACTCTCACCACTTTAATCAACATAGTACTACAAGTTCTAGCCACAACAATCAGACAAGGAAAATAAAAGGCATCCAAACTGGTAAGGAAAAAGTAGAACTTTCACTATTTGCAGATGACATGATACTATGTATTATGGAAAATGCTAACGACTCTACCAAAAAACTACTAGAATGGGTAAATGGATTCAGTAAGGTCACAGGATACAAAATCTATATATAGAAACTTATTGCCTTTCTATACACTAATAGTGAAGTAGCAGAAAGAGAAATTAAGAAAACAATCTCATTTATAACTGCACCCAAGATAATTCAATACCTAGGAATAAACTTAACCAAGGAGGTAAAAGACCTATACTCTGAAAACTATATAACACTGATGAAAGAAATTGAAGATGACAAAAACAACAAATGGAAAGATATTTCATGCTCATAGATTTGAAGAATAAATACTATTAAAATGTCCAAACTACTCAAAGCAATCTATAGATTTAATGCAATCCCTACCAAAATACCAAAAGCATTTTTCACAGAACTAGAACAAACAATCCTTAAATTTGTATGAAAGCACAAAAGACTCCAAAGAAGAACAAAACTGGTGGCATCACAATCCCAGATTTCAAGATACACTACAAAACTGTAGTAGTCAAGACAGTATGGTACTGACACAAAAACAGACACGTAAAAACAGACCAAAGGAACAGAATAGAGAACCTAGAAACAAACCCACCAATATATGGTCAATTAATCTTCGACAAAGGAGGCAAGAATACGCAATAGAAAAAAGACAGCTTCTTCAACAAATGGTGCTGGGAAAACTGGACACACAAAAGAATGAAATGGGACCACTTTCTTAAACCATACACAAAAATGAACTCAAAATAGATTAAGGACCTAAATGTCAGACCTGAAACCATAAAAATCCTACAAGAGAACCCAGGCAGTAATTTCCGTGACATTGGCCATAACATTTTCCTAGATATGTCTCCTGAGGCAAGAGAAAAACAAAAACAAAAATAAGCT